AACACAATGGTGCCCGAATAGGTCTGGATTTATTTTACTCATAGAATTCCGGATGAATAAATCCATTTTTGGAATGAAGAGTGAATAAATAAGGGCGCCGAAATGTATTTATTTGATAAATGCTATAAAGTACCATTAATAATAAGACTAAATTCTAGACTAGCATTTGCTTAACAAAAAAGAAAGTTCATAGAGTAAAGAAATGCAGTTTGAATAGCTATTCGGTTTTAGTGGTTTCATGTCTTTGATTTAGATTAAAGGCTAATGCAAGAATATACGTCATGAAATTTCCTCGCTTTTGCCCAAGCAAAGGAATATATATATATATATATATATATATAATACCAGATACGTGGACAATTTTAGTAACGAGACGAGAAACAAAAGCAAAGGAAAGATATACTTCAAAAAGGGTAAAAATGAGTGAAAAAAGAAGTATTTAGAGCACCATTAAAAATGTTTAGGCCAGTTTGAAGAACTTTAGCCAAGCTGGAGCAAATACATACCCGAGCATAAAGGTAAAAAAATATTAAAATGAAGTCAAGGGACAGCACCATAGAAATGATCTCACGAATTCTAAATGCGATGACAGGATATCCAGAAGAATTCATCCATATGTGAAAGTAATCGAAGATAAACGAGACGCAAGTGAACAAGAAAACAGAACTTATTCAGCCTAGCCACTAAGACGATATACAGACCGGCTCGAGTAAGGCCAAATTAATCGGCCTGGAATAAAATAGGCGCTTGAGGGTTCTGGCGCAGTCCATCAGGCAAGTCAAGTCCAGCTAAACGGGACTCGTCGAAGAACATTCGGGTAAGTTGGTTTGACGTCCATACAGCTAAAGTGTACACATCTTCAGCCATCTCCTTTAGACTGGTGTAGCGTACCCCTTGCTCCAACGGATTGTGATTTGGAAACGAGGCACCGGAAATCTTTAAAGAAAAGCGATATGGCGATCGCACATTAGAAGATGGGTAGCTAGTCTTCAATGGCTTATAGTTTGGAGTGGCCAAAAGAGAAGAGCTGATTTGGTCGGAGGGGCTAATATCCAACTGATAGGAATGATCTGAAGCATAGGAGTTTAAAGCACCCGAATTTTCTTGAAAGAGATTTGATTGAACGGTAGTTGGCCTAGAGAAAAGAGAGCTAGGCGAATGCTCTTTTTGCGGAGTGCCGACTTCGCTGGGGGAAATAAGAGTCTCCGCGTCGTCGTCCTCGTCTTCATCCTGTTTCTCATAACCACCACCCTTGAAAGCGTCATCACA